CGTTATCAGTGTAGAGTTAAAGCTTCCGCTGCGGTTTTCCTGTTTGGCTGGGCGCAGGTGGACCATTAATTAGCGGCGCTTTCAGTTCCTCTTTTTCTCGCTAGCTACCGCCGGTGGAGTTCGCGTGGTCTGGCTGCGAGCTTCCCCGAAGCCCCGTGCTGACCGAACCTGACAGCTGGAAGGGATATATAGAAGCTCTCAGAATAGTATATACAGTCCACCTTCCCTTAAGCTCTCAGAGCAGAGAGATACAGATGTTACATTATGCCATGTCCACATGTCCACATCACTTAGTGACATGGAGAGTGAGCTGACAGAACTGGGTATGAAAGGCTAGCAGCTCAAAAGCAACCACGGTAGATAAATGGGTACTCTCACCTCAGTGAGAGGAAAAACGCTGGGGCGGCCTTGTACGGGAGACGGGACCAGTTGCCGCTGACGCGAAAGTTGCGTACGTCTGAAAAAGACACAAAGCAATGGAAACCCCACCTTCCTGCACCTGCCAGCTGGGCTCCGCTCTAGGAAGGAGGCAATGGCAAACCACTTCCGAAACACCTTGCCGTGAAAACTGCAGGGACTTGTCCAGGCAGTTGCCACAGAATCGGTCACAACTGAGTGCGGATAAAAAAAAAAGATCCTGGGGTGTGCCAGATAAAAAAAATATAAACTCTATTCCATTATGATGAATAATGATGGACCTCTTTGGAATAAAACACAACTGTTTTGGACACTGCACTCTAGTCCTATACATTATAAAAAATAAAAAAGCAAAGACATAATGTGAAAGAAAGCCCACATTTGGATTTGCCCAGAAATGTAGCTCTACCACCATTCTATTTACAACTAGCTTAGTTGATTTTGTTACCCTTAATTGGCATCCAAGGATGCTCAGCACTTTCACAGGGCCAGCAGCTTATTTCTCTTAATTTGAATCAAATACTGTCAGTAGAAGACCTGGAGGATTAAAGAAGTTGTTCTTGTAGCAAAATTATTCTAGAAGTTCTTGTGCAATCCCTCTACATCCTTTATTGAGTTTTACATGGGGGGCCAAACAACATCATGCTTCACTTTTAACTCTCCCTTTTCCTGCCATGTTTAGCACTTTGCTTTCCAGAGCTAATCTGTTAAGAAAGAAGGGGGAAAAATGGAATAGCCAAGCAATCCCCTTTGCTAGTAGCCCTCCATCTAAAAGCAATCTAGAAAACAGTTGATCAGTTAGTTGTAGGATAGGAAAAAATCAGGCATGACTTCATGTTGCTTGATTTTAGCATAGACTGGGGGTCCCCAAACTCTTCAGCTCATTGACCCTTTCATGAAGTTTTAGATTGTTCATCG